AAAAGAACATTTTTTTTTGCCAAGAGCTAATTTCTCTGTTGTTGTAATTCGTAATCGATAATCGCGTTTATATTTTATGAGTTTCTTTTGTCACGTATATGTGAGAATACCGTAAGCTAAAATATTCCATGTGCTGCTTGACCTATTTCGCGACCAACGCGAAATGTAACACACACCGGAAAATATACAAATGCGCATCAGAAATTTTGCAAGGAATCTCACAGAATTTATTATTAACGAACCATATGTTCCTCGAGCATCATTATGCGAAAAATCTCGTGGAAAAATAGGAGAGATATTGCGTTATGAGAAAACATTCTCTAATTTTTACTATAATATACGATGTTAATGCAATATGATATGACCGTCGTAGTAGAATTCAAACCCTCTTTATTTACAGATTGTTATTCGTGACTAAATTCGGGGAATATAATTTTATTTATCTGCAATTTTATACGCCATGTAATGCGAAAAACATATTTGAGGAAACAAGATATGTATACATATAAAATATATATCAAAATACATATCATATCAGAAGACATGTGCAGAACATAAAATTATAAATAGATTCCTATCTTAAATTTTGTTGCGAATCAAATATATTAGTTTAAATGGACTGAAGATACAAATATTATACAATATAAAATATTTTTTCGCTTTTTAAAAAGTATATAATTATAATTAAAATCGCATAGCATGTGTGATATTAACATAAGAAATTATATTTGTATCTCGTAACTCTATCAAATTAATTCTTGAGTACTGCTATTTGTATTACATAAGACAATTGGCCCTTTATTCAATTATTATGATAAACGTAAATAAAAAATATAACGTGCCTTAATTTTCTGCTTTTGATTAAAAGAGAGAATAACATATTTATATCTTTGAAAAAATCATGTTTTTGAATTAAGATGAAAATAACATTTCGACAAACGATGTACTGTGGGCGTTAACATATGATGTATGGAATTAATCGACGTATATGAGAAGTCCGCGCGTGAGCTCGTGATAGAGCTCGCCTGGTAGCTTAACCTAATTTTTGCCCGGACACCCTCCGCGATTAATCAAGGCAAATGGACGTAACAGCATGCAGGGAAGTTGTAGCGAAGGGATGCATGAATGCTCGGTAAAGCCGAGGTCGCGCGAGTTTTGGTCTCCGTTGGCGAACGACGCGGCGACGTACGACGTCGGCACGAGGCATCCTCGCTAGAATGCAAATGATCAATTAACCAGTTGTAAATCACTACAACGTGGGGGCTTTATCTAGGCCCGCTGTCGGTAGCCGACCCATCTAATGGCCGCGAAGTCATCATCAGTCTCCCACACATCCTATTCATATGCTTTCTCCTCGACAGATCTGGCTATATAAAATGCCCCAGAATAAATAATATGACCGAGAAAAGAAACTTTCTTCCATCTTATTATAATAAGAATTTTACCCACATATCCCTTGCTTATTATCTAATTTACGTATATATATATATATATATGTTAATTTAATATAACATTCACACATAAAACGATTCTTTACGAGCTGAAGGTATAACGAGAGAGAGTTTCAAGCAATAAAATTATACCATTTTCTTATACGTAATATTATAACGGTACTATTACTATTATTATTACTGCTATTACGCTATTATTATTTTCATTATACTATTAGATGTAAACTACCTTGTATAGTTGCCGCTATCTTCGTTCGTCCTTTAATTTTTGCCACCGTCGCGCCGAGGATATTTATTATCGAGGCCACGAGAATATTTATTATCAAGCCGGAGAACCTTTCGAAAGTTGAAGGCGAACCCATGGGGCGGCACGAAGGTATTAAGTAGACAAATTTGCAGCTACGATTAACATTTGGAATGAGAAAGGTATATTCTGGATTAATAATCCACTATATGAGCTAATATATTACCGATAAAATATCTTTGCGTGAATTATTTTAGATGTTACAAATGTGATTGTCGACGATAAAAATTACGATCCAATTTTGTAAGGCAAGATAAAATTGCAAATATCGCTTGAATAAAATTCGTGGACAAAAATAGATGATAAGGGATAAAAAAAGATAAGGATAAAAAATGTATATAGACATGTGTCCTTTTTCTCTAAATCTAGTCGGATGTCATTCATGATGTCTACGCGATCATATTTATCTTGGGAATCCAAGTCTTGCGGTATCTTATCTAAAATGAATGACGTGTGGCTTTCGTTCACGGAGCACGGGCCCAATCAAAAGCTGGTCCTGTCACTGCAAAATGTACGCAAGATACGTTGCTCGAGCGTACATGCTTGCCCTGTGTGTGTCGTGTGGTATTCGGGTTATCCTCAATATCGCGTGGAAGATAGCCGCAGAATCTCGCGGGAATTTAATTTGTACTTGGCGGATGGATGCTGCTTCATGTATAAACGCGAACCGCAGCCATTCCAGCCGACGTGATGAATGTTCGTACTTGCAATTCACATTTCGGTTATCAAATGCTTCATTCACGTACACACGCGCGTACAGTTAAATATGCAATTATAAAAAAAAATTATAATTTGTATTGGCGTATATCATTACATTGTTATACACAGGCAGAATTTGAGAAAATTTAGTTATTATAATTCTGAATCGTGTTTTATTATATATTCTTGAATAGAAATATTAGAGATGCATCGAAGATAGAATTATAATATGTTGTCCTGCCCAAAATATTGCGCCCCAGATACATCTGATCTATATGATTCGACGCGAAACCGAAATCAGGGCCAAGAAATTTAATGGATATAGTGACAGAGAGAGAGAGAGACAACCCCCGCGAGGAAAGGGGGGTTTCGGTGTGGTGTTTCTGACAAAGGCTCTAATGACGTACGATGGTAACCTTCGTGAGGAGCGCGATACATATTCCGGGTGATATGCATATTTAGTAGCGTTCTATAATTCTCCCTCTCGCGTAGAAATGCACGGGGCACGCTGCCAAATCAGCGAAATTGAATCGTAAGAGAATTTTTAGGAGAAGCGCTTTATTACGTTATTATATTTAGATTCTGTCGAGGTGGCCGTGCACTTTCTCGCGGTCGTTTTATATTTCCAGCAGAGTTGAAGGCAAACTCGCTTGATTAGAATATCGCGAGAATTGCGTATATTTATTTCATTCGCCTATATTATCCTCGTCGCTCTAAAAACAAAGTTTAACACACATTGCGCATGATATTTTTCTGTGTGTGTGAAAACGGTGTATTAAATTAAATTTATTTTAATCATATAAAATGCGCGAGATATAATTTAATTTTCAGTCTGTACATATTATCTCTCAGAATTTATAATTATAAATTGGTTTCTATCAATTTTAATCATCTCGAATGTCTCTCGTTGTTCTCTTTTACTCTTTTTTCATTGTCCCGAGAAACTTTACTAATAGTCTCGAAATCATGGGGCACCCATATATTTCGCCGCTAGTCATTGTTAAATTCTTTGGATCGGTCAAATCAGCCACGTGCACTATTCGATTTGCATTAGTGCACGTTAGGTCGCGTGTCGCGCGCGCGCTCCTGGCTACCTATTTACCGCGCCTTCGGGTGTTGAATTTTTTTTCCGCGCACGCCGGGACGCCTTTCTTCTTTTATGTCCTCAAGTAGCCTGAATTGCTGATAAGCATCGCATGTCGTACCACGAATATTTATAGAAGTGGTGGGGTTTTGCATTTTTATATTCTGATTATGCGCATCGCGCGGGCCCGCTAACAATAAGTGCCGATAAATTGCGTGTCATGTTGTGGCGCGTACGTAAGGCCGGATGATGAAGGAATAATGAGGAGAAAAGCAGGGAGGATTACAGGCGAAATATCGCGGCATCAAAAATCCCCTCCTCCCCTTTCTCTCCACGCGGTATAATTACACTTTTTTAACGTTATAACTGGCGTTACTTCCTCCTTTAATAATGCCGTACTATCGCGCTTAAAATTATACCTCTTACGATTCCTTGCGGCAGAAATCAATAATGAACCGTAATATAATGGCGCTGTTATTGTTAGCGGCATGTAAATGCGAATATACGCAAACATGCACACATGCACACATTTCGCGTCCCTACCAGTCGTATCACGCGTGAGATGTAAGATATACGGATAAGATATCCGACCCGAAGACAGTTTCTCCATTTTTCATACGCCAAGTACGTCGGCGTATACTGTATGTGTTTCTACTGAATTATTCATCATGTTAAGCATTTTTGATCTGAAGTAGTCGAAAAAGAGAGAAATCGCGCATTTTCTTCAGAGAGAAACTTATTTTATTCAAAGGGATTTGAGATTATAAGAATAATTTATTTGCCTTTCCGACTTGTTGATTATATCACATGTGTTACAATATAGGTATATTAGATTTAATAATATAGATATAATCAACATACATAAATAATATAATCTTTCTGAATGTATGCGAAACTTGCATCTCATTTTTCTTTTTCTTTTTAATCCATGAATTCTTAAAAAACATTATTATAATTAAATACTAGCAGATTATTGCGAAGTAAAAATGCCAATAAACAATATTTTAATAACATCAATGTGACTATAAATAAAATATTCTCTTAAATCAAATAATTAAAATGCAAACTTATCATTGAGTTTACAATTCAACGATTGTTTGTGACTAGTTGCAATTCTGTTTCTCTAAAGATGAAAGCGCAGATAGATCAAAGATATGTCGATACGATCTCCGAACAGAAGCCAAATCTTTAAAAAAAGTAAATGTCAGCGGAAAATACTTAAAGTACTCCACAGATCATTATACAAATTTTTCATTTGTTATCATCTTGCGTTAGCGTTTTTTTATCTGTATTTTAATATTTAGTCTCAATGTGGATAAATAATTTAATCAGATGATTAAATTAAATGCAGCATGATGTATGATGATATATTAATAAAATATAAGATGTACTCTGTGATATATTATATGACATACGTTATACGTCAAAGTATATCATATGCACTCTTCTCTTTTATTTTTAGGAAATCGCCGCCATCCTGATCAGTTTTCAGAGGCACACCGAATGGCAAAGTCGGGAGGTGAAAGTACGACCACGAAGTGGTTCGATGTTACTGTACTCGAGAAAGAAAGTACGCTATCGGCGAGATGGTTACTGCTGGAAGAAGAGAAAAGACGGAAAAACTACACGGGAGGATCATATGAAACTGAAGGTAAATTTAAAATGAAAAAGAAAGATATTATATGTCTAACATTATAAAGAAACTGGTGAAGAGTAGTAATCTTTTCCAATTCGCGTTAAAATTTTGTTATTAAAATTTGCGTAAGGAGTTTATACGCAAAAAATTGTTGCTAGATTCCACTATACGTGATAATCTGATCATAGGTCCAGGGAGTCGAGTGCATCTACGGCTGTTACGTGCACTCGGCTATCCTTCCGACGTTTCATCGCCGGTGTTACTGGCTACTACAGAATCCGGACGTTGTTCTCGTTCATTATCTGAACGTTCCTTATCCGGACGGCGATGCGAAACTGGCGGCCTTGCCACCCTGTCTTGCACTGCCGCCAGATAAGAAGGAATGGACGCGAGACGAGCTCGCGTCGCAATTAAGGCCCATGTTCCTCGGTGGAGATGATGATCCAAACAATCCTCATCTCACGCAGCACTCGAACCATCCCGTCGACATGATAGTTTCTCAGCTGCTCGACAGGCAGAGGGCATCCTCCACTTCCTCCACCAGCAACACTCAACTCGCACCTAGGAGACTTACGCCCGACAATCAGGTTAATTAATTAAATCTTGCACATGTCAAAATAAATATTAATTTCCACGGAATTTTTATGATAAATTATAATTAGTAAATATTAACTTACCTCATAATAATTTAGAATCTTTTATATCAAAAGTTTTCTATAACATCAGCCTTTAATATGTTTGTATAATTAAGTCAATTTCAATATATGCATGTATTATTACTCGAAATAGGTCTCTTCGACAACGGGAGGTCAGCAACCATCGACGACAGCGACTCCGGCTCCCCGTGTATACTCAAGACATTCCCATTCCACTCAGAGCCAACAGCCGGCTCCTTTAGTTTTAAGTTTGCAACAAATCCAAGGCGGTGGTGGTCTTCTGATACTCAATAGTCAACCATATCATCATCAGCAGCAGCAGCAGCAGCAACCACAGCAGCAGCAGCAGCAGCAACAGCCGCAACAACAACAGCAGCAGCAGTCGCAACAGCAGCAGCAGCCGCAACAGCAGAGTCAGCAGGTGGAGATGCAACAGGTCACGGAGCAACAACTCGTGCCACAGACCAGCGTAGATCGAGAGCAACAGACGCAACAAGAGATCGAGGCACAGGAGAACATGGACAGATCCGCCGTTCAGTCTCTACCGATCGGCGGTTCCGGCTCCGAGGTGACCGATTTCGCCGAAACGCTGGATCTGAGTCAGGAGGACATTCAAAAGACACTGTCCGCTAATATGGTGCCCCCGTCACCGTCGCCGTCGCCGGCGGACAACAGCATGATCAATCCGATGGACTTTATCGACTCGTCGGATGACGTGCTGGTTAATCTAGACGCGTTTGACGTGTTCGGCGATTTGCCGGAGCTGCACGACTTCGAGGCCGATCAGACGAAGCACGAGGAACAGCGAGGTGGTCCCGAGAACGACGTCGGATGTCATCCTGGTACAACCGTCCATATTGCAGAGTATAGTCCTGAATGGAGTTACACCGAGGGTGGTGTAAAAGTGAGTATAAAATATTTCCAGCTAATTTTTCTCTTTTACGTTCGTGGAATTATATATATCAAACATTGATATTTTATTTATCTTCTGAGAATAAAAATATATTCTCAATATTTGAAAATAAATTAAGTAAAAAATTTTATATTAAACATTTAAAAGATATAATT